CTGTTAATAATAAGTTGCAGTGCCCCATTGAGTTTTCTGTGCCACCAAATCCTCCCAGTTCCAGTTACACAAAGGCAACTTTGTCTTGGGAAGGCTACTGAGAAGATGGGCCTAATCTTGGCAAGGGCTTTGAGGACCATGTTATTATTTTTAAAAATAAATGACAACAAATATTAGTTAAGCTGTCTTTTCAAAACTCGTGGTGCTGTTATTGCCATTGACATGGATCCCTACTTTTAGAAACATGAATATTTGACTTGATCTTTCAAGATCAAGTCAAATATACATTTTCAGAATGGCAATCAACTGATATAAGAGAAGTAAGTAGCACCTGGAAAAAAAAAATCTCCTTTGTTTTATTACTTTTTTTTTCTTTTGGCATGATGTGAAATGCGTCACAAAAATGATTGAGCCAGGTCTCAGTGCTCTGAAAGGTAAATATTTTTATTATAATTCTCACAGGTTGGCATTTCCTTGGTCAGGTAGAGGCATCCTGTTCCTGTTTCAGTGCACAATGCACCACATTCATTGTTCCCCACCCACTGCCCATTGGCACATGGAGTTAACTCTTGCTCACCCACCTGTGGATTATCCATAGCTTCTGGGATCAAATTGTCTTTCTCCCCGCATGGTGGAAACTCAAGGAATATGAGCAAAATTGACTATTAGCCAAAGCAAAGAACAATCCGGAGGCTAAAAAATCGGAAACTCCTCTTTCACTCAACGTATACCCACCGAGCACCTCCCATGATCTGGGCACTGGGCCACCATGTTCCTAAGAACCACAAAACTACAGTATCCCCAAAGACAAATATCATGATTTGAGGAGACTTGGAGCTTATTTTCTTGATTAATGTGAATGGCTATGACTTATAAATAAAATATATATATATATATATATATATTGCACTACCAGGAATCTGCTGAGGCCAAAGGATTGACATTTTCCCCAAATCACAAAGGGTTTTCAGGGTTACACTAGCACTTTGCCTTCTCCTGACGTCATCTTTCTTAAATAGCCTTCAGAAAGGTAGAGATTGTACTTTTGATTTCTAAAACGACTCCACTCTTAAACATGACAGAGTTTACCAAGAGAGCAACTATAGACTACAGTCAATCATTTCTGGAAGAGTGAGTGTCAGTTTACCTAATGTTTTGTATTTTACAAACATATAAACTGTACACGTATGTCTAAACATACCTACAAATCATTTTATATAAATTAAGTTCCTCTGATGACAACAACGGGATATTCACAACAACAAAACAGAATGCTCATATTATACACATAAGTTCCATCAACTGAACTGTGATTTTTTTTTTCAGGAGGCTAAAAAATCAGGAGTCTTAAACCACCACAGAAAGTAGAGGAAGAGTGGAACACAGTTGAGAGTCTTCCTTTTGTAATCAGTTGACTTATGGTCCTACCCAGGGATGATATCTTGAACCCTTTCAAACTAGGCATCTATTGCAGTGCGCAAGGAACATCTGAATTACAAAAGGGGGTGGGGATGACCCTCAAATCCCTACAGTTGCCAGTTCCCCTGCAATAGTTTGAGGGCACTGATAAATCTCCATGTGAGCTTTCTGGTGAGCTCTACGTTACTAACAGTATTGGAACTCACCTGTTTCTTGGCCATTTCCTCCACCAGACATCTTTCTCCTTCTACTGGAATATTCCTCCCTCACCTTTTCCAGGGCAAAATATACAAAGTTTCTGAAAAGAAGGGGCACACTGACTTCAAGGGGAGAACATCTTGTCCCTCCCCTCTTCCCCATGCAGATGCTGACAGAATAGAGGGAGAGGCAACTACGAGAGAAGCAGAAACGATCAGAAATCAAGCGCAGACCACTTGAGGAGAGTTTCACTGACAAGATGATTCAGACCACACACAAAAAGTGGCAGGGTGCCATTTCCCCCTAAATCCCTCTAACCTGAGATGTTTCCCACAACCTGAGGATCCAGCTGAACAATTACTTATTGCCATTTCCACGACAGTTCTTTTCTGGAGGATCTAAAGGCCTCCCACCTCATAACCCAAGTCATTCCTGCGTTGCCCTTCTTGAAAATCCTTTTTCAGTTGTTCTTTGAAGCATTACTCTGAGCGGGTGGTTGTTTGGACTAACACATACCTCTTACAACACTAAACCAGAAAATCGACACCGTCATAAGACACAGAAACTGCGCCTAAGAGGTGAAATACATGTCTTCATCAGGCCGGTGGTTGAAACGTCCCAATATAACTTTTAACTTGGAATTATTCTGACAACCACTTTTTTTTATTATTTATTTATGTATTTTTACTTCAGAGAGAGAAAGAGAGTGCATGGGGGAGGGGGACAAAGGGAGGGAGAGAGAATCCCAAGCAGGCTCCACGCTCAGTGCCGACACGGGGCTCAATCCCATGACCCTGGGATCATGACCTGAGCCAAAATCAAGTGTCAGACACTTAACCTACTGAGGCATCCAGGAGCCCCTGACAACCACTTTTTTTTTTTTTTAATTTTTTTAATGTTTATTTATTTTTGAGAGACAGAGCATGAGCAGGGGAGGGGCAGAGAGAGAGGGAAACACGGAATCCCAAGGAGGGTCCAGGCTCTGAGCTGTCAGCACAGAGCCTGACGCAGAGCTGGAACCCACAGACTGTGAAATCATGACCCAAGCTGAAGTCGGACGCTTAACCGACTGAGCCACCCAGGTGCCCCTCCTAACAACCATTTTTGAAGCTGCATTCATGTCTTCATCGTAACTTTAATGTTTAGCACACAAATTCTAGATTCAGGCAAAATATATCCTTTTCCTAAATCTAATGAATCCCAGACTTAAGCCCTCTTCAGAGTGAGTTTTTTCCTAGAATTATGCATCCTCTGGGAAAACCTGATCACAATTTCACTTGAACCCCAGTCCAGTTATAAGATCTCTGTCCTCCTACCAGCACCCCTACATCTATTCCTCTGCCTATTCCTAAACAATCAGAAGGCACTAGAAATGCAGAGGCGGAATCCTGTCTGAAACAAGCAAATACTTTCCTATAGCAGCCAAAACTCAATCATTTGCGACATGATTTACTTTTAATCTTCAGATCAAGAGTAGGATTTGGAAAGCAAAGGTATTTTGTGAAAAAAATAATAATAATGATTTCTTCTACTTTAACCTTCTAATCTTTGTTTAGATTACCTAGAGCAAGTTCCATTACTAATAAACCAAAGAGAACAGTCTAATCTAAATGTTCTTATCATGTGAGGTGAAAAAAATGTGAGTAGTCTTAAACATTAGTTAGAGCAAGTATCTAGGACATGTGTCCAGAAGCACAGTTTTGTTGCTTTCTATCTTGAGTCTATCTTCAGTGTCACCAACTGTTTTGGGTGGAATCCTTTCAAAAGTTAACCTAGAGCAGCAAGCGCAGGTGGGAATCAAAAACAAATATGTTGACTATTAAAACTATAGAGATTGGAATATAATGACGGTGCCAGATTTTCAATCCTACAAGCTTCAGAAAACTCAGTAACCAAGAGGAAGCCAAAATATCCTCAAAATTTGATTATTTTCAGCATACGTTCAAAAAGACCCTCGAACAGATGAATTTAAGAGTAGCCTCGTCAGGTAAAGAAGTATGACAGTTAGGCTAGCTACGCTTTGTTTTTGTCAGGTTATTTCTTCATTTAACAAATACTGAACATTACTAATGAAGCTAGACTTTTGTGAAATTTCTGATTCCTCCTTCTCTCGGTACGCAGTTATTAAGACAAAGAGGCCAACGGTATGCGTATCAGAACAGGGTGAATGAAGGATAAGGTAGGCAAGAAAGGATACAAAAACCCCCATTTCTTTTCCTCCTCCTGTTTCCCTTTCAAACTGAGTTGGTTTTGTTTCCCTCTAAGATTTCAGATCATCAGTCTGACAAAGATTATTGTTTAAATTAATGGCAACACAAATTCCTACAAAGTGCTATCTCACTGCCTTGTCTAGAGATTGTGTTTTACGCCACTGACAACCTTTCACCTTTCAGAATCGGCACCTGCAGTTCTCAAACACTCTTGATCTAAGTGCAGTTGTGCTTAAAACTGCGGCAACTTCTTCATGTTTGTGTGGCCAACCCTTTGCTTTCTCTCCCCTGAAAAATGTGTGTGACTCCAGCATTAAAACTTTTAAAGAACTTTGAAAGAAACATTTCTAATCTGCATTCCTGCTAAAGACAACGGAGTGAGTCATTCGGATGCCACCAGAAAGAAATTGCTTGATTTTTCCGTACAAACCAGTATGGCCTGTAAGTACCTTGAAGACACTATCTTTCTATCATTTTGATAAGCCTCAGGAAAGAAGCCACATCCTCAAATGCCTTGGGACAGTACCCAAGAGTGGATGGACTCTTAACTAATTAAAAAATGAATCATTTATTTGCAAAATTCCACGTCATTTATTCTGATTTCCTAAATATCCGGTGACTGGTGATTTGTCAGCTGTCATAATTCATCAGCCCTACACTTTTACGCAGAATGAATCTGTAACTTTAAACAACTAAGCCTCCACTCAGTGCTACCTTTGGAGGTAAACTACTGCAGGAAGGCATTCCCCCCATCCCCGCCCCCCAACCTTAACACTTCAATGAGATAGATGCCTGTCATGAATATTTCCTCAATCGCAAGTTAAGAATCGGATTCTAAAAGTCACCTGTGCCACTGGATGGCCCAATAGTGTGTTTTCAAGGATGAAAAAAAAAAAAAGTTTCTTGTATGAAAAAGGCTTCATCAAAGGTTCCATCAGAGGAAACATGATGGGGCTGTATAGGATTTTCTGCTTTTCCTGAAGCTGGCACTTTTAAAATCTTTTTATAAACCATTTCTTTCCCACTACATATACCAGGGTTGAAGGGAGAGTGGTACAATGAGAGAGATCAGGGCTGAAGAGAGAAGAAAAAGGGAAAAAAAATTCAAAATTGGGACCCAAATGTAAGATTAAGGGTAGGTAGTTTAGAAGGATTGCCAAAAAACCACCTTACCTTTGTTATGTATTTGGAGTCGCCCACTTCAGAAATTAACACCATTCACAGCCCGGTAGCAATTTACACAGCTAGGAAGTAACCTACAACATCTTCTCGGCCTCCCTCTTTTTAATGTAAAACCAAAATAAGGAGTGTCCAGCTACTCCCCACTGCGCCGCTTAAAGCAACAGATCGTTTTAGGCTCAACTCCCAGACTCTGGGAATTCCAGTTTGTCAGAATTTCTTAACCTTGGAAACCTGCGGAGAGAAACTCTCAACGAGGACAACTCCCTAAGCCCCGGCTTCTCACTGTCCCAAACTGCACATTCCAAAGTGGGAAGCAGGAGCGATAACCAGAAGGCAGCTCTCGGGGGCTAAATTCCTGGCGGGAGCGAGAGAACTTGAAAGCGCGGCGATTCCACTGGCCGAGCGGCGCCGGGTCCGCACCCGGGGGAGACGAGTGGCCCCGAGAGCCCGGCTGCGTCCGGCGCTGCGCACGGGGAGCGCTCCGTGTCTGCTCTCCGAGCTCTTCCCTGTTCCCTCCTCCCTCCTCCCGCAGCCCTCCCCCAGCCGAGGCCATTCGCCTCACAGTAGCAAGGTTGTCTCTCGTCTACTCCCTTCCCTTAAACTCACCAAACCAGATTTTTACTCCCGACACCGGCAACTTCCCGTAAATCTGCACTGAAATTTTATCCTGCTCGCTGAGCCACCACTGGCTAAAGGCCAGTGCAACATTCCTGTTGTTTTAGGAGCGCAGATACCTTTGCTGAAGGTTAAAAAAAAAAAAAAAAAAAAAAAAAAAAAAAAAAAAAAAAAAAAAAACTGCCTGGATGGGAGAGATTTGGGGACTCCACCAGACAGATTTCTCCCCGCGCTCAAAAAGTCACATCCAAGTCAGACACCCAGAAACGGCCCCACAAGTGGCACCTGCTCCACCTGAGGACATGTGTCCTCAGACTTCTGGCCCCCTTCGGGTTGTTCAGAAAAATCAAGCAGAACCATGTTTGAGGAATAAGGAACCTGCTGCTGAATCACGAGCCGAACAGTACCACCCCACCCCCGTTCTTCCCCCTGGTACAAAAAGTCGTTTAACCAGGTAGGATCACAGCGAGCCCCGCGGCGGGCCTACAGGAAGGGGGGGACCTCCCAGAGTGTCCTTACCTGAGGCACAGCACCACTTGGACGCGCGCAGGAAGGAACGTCACGCGGACGAAACCCTGACCTTTGCCGGGGCCTTCGCAGCAGGGCCTGGGGCCTGGGCGCTGCTCGTTCAGAAGTGGCTCATTTTAATGCGCTCTGACCTAAAGTTACAGCTGGTTTCTAGAAAGGGAACAAAAAACACTGCATTTAAAAACAGCAGCCAAGCCCTCCCTTAACCTTGCCTGATCTCTGGGGAGTTGGCTCTAACCCCCACCCCATCCCCATCCCAAAGAAACCCGCAATCTGTGCCCCACCCCTTCGCATTACCTGTTTATACAAGAGTTAAGGAGCCTCACGCATTTCAATAGAGCGCTAAGCCTGTTTGTAGGCGCGTAACCGGCCAACAGGAATCGAATTCTGTGACTAAACAAACTAGAAGAGGAAGCAGGCACCACCAGGAACCTAAAACGGAGTTGTGATTTCGGGTTGCAGTGTCACCAACTGAGAAAAAAAAAAAAAAAAAAAAAAAATTAAAAAAAAAAAAAAAAAGGACTGTTTGTCATTGGGCTATTTTAGTGAAGACTAGTCCAAAAAAAGGGGTTTTTTTTTGCTGGTTAAATGAGTTAATACATAGAAGAGCTTAGAACAGTGCCTGGCACATATTTAGCAGCTGTTAGCAGTAGTACTGGTAGTAGTTTTTGTACTATGGATTTTTTCAAGGGCATGATCAGAGTTAGAAGTTGGCTCTAGACGCAGCCCTGCTATTCGCTAGCTGTAGGGCCATGAGCAGGGTTTTTTTAAACTTCTCCCAGCTTCTGGAAGATTCCAGTGACGAGATTTTTGCTCACAGTTTACATTGTAGACAGTCTTGCATACATTGGAAAGTAAAGTTCCTGTAAAGGAGTGTCCAACTGATTTTCATCTCACTTAAAAGTTGCAAGATTGACAAAACACATGGAGATAAATTGGCCTGTGCATTCTGTGAAGTTCACTAGTAGAAAACTCAGGACCAGCAATCAACCCTAGATGTGTGTTTCATTCTAATTTGAATTTAGGCCCTTGATTTGCTGTCTGACCCTGGGAAAGTTACTTACCCTATTCAGTTAGAAGCTGCTGCTGGCCAAATAATAGTCTTTGCTATTTGAAAAACAGTGTGAAATAGGGGGAAATAATTTTTAAACTCCTCATAAATATTAAAAGGGGATTACTGGAGGCTAAAAAATGTGATCAGTGCCAACAGGACACCCTTTTTCCTCCACTTAGCTTCACCTTGAAAGAAAGAAATCACAATCCCTTTTACATTCATGAGGCCCTTTGTACTTTACCAAACACTTTCACCCACTTCATCTTATCTGATCTTACAAATCAATCCTGTGAGCTACTTTAGCCCCATTTTGCAGATGAAGACACTCAGGTCAATTAGTTCCAGGTTTCACTGCCTAGTGAGGCGGGGACTCGTTCCCAGTTCTAGTTAAATCTAAAAGCAGCATTTGCCACCTTTAGGAAAAATGATTCCAAAAACCACCAAAGAATTCTGAAACATTTTAGATCCCTTTGGGATTTTTATCTTCCCTATGGGGTAAGATTTAACTCCGATCAATTAAACATTTTCTGGGTCATAGGGGAGCCTGTGTGGCTCAGTTGGTTAAGCATCTGACTTCGGCTCAGGTCATGATCTCACAGTTTGTGGTTCAAGCCCTGCATCGGGCTCTGTGCTGACAGCTCAGAGCCTGGAACCTGCTTCAGATTCTGTGTCTCCCCCCCGTCGCTGCCTGCCCTTCCCCCGCTTTCTCTCTCTTCTTTCTCTCTCTCTCAAAAATAAATAAACATTAACAATTTTTTTTTAACATTTTCTGGATTTAGGTTTATTCCCTGTCAATACAGGTGAGAATGAACTATCAACAGCAGGCAGTGAGACTACTCCAGGGTTCTCTTACCGTATCTAAGGGTTGATGTGGCCAGGCATGAACAAGGGCTCCAAAACCTTCAGATAATATAAAAACTCCAGCTCTACATTAGCCTGGATTTTTTCTTTTCTTTTCCAGAAGTATCTGGAATGTGGTCTCAAGAACCTTTCACTGTTAGGGATGCTTTGAGTTAAAGGATTCAAGAGAGGATATTTTCAGGCTTACTGATTTTTCCGCCTGAAAACAGGATTTTCCATAGGAAACACTGGGCCAAAGCCTGGGGATTAAGACCAGGAAGAATACCAGTGAGTATGCAAGTGTAGAGATCACGGGCTCCAGGTGAACTGGGGCTGGGGTCAGAGAAGATGGCTCTTGAGGAGGCACAAGTCCCTGGAAGCAAGTCCTTATGGAGTCCATTACTTTCTCTAAAATGTAGCCAGGCACTTCTGCTTCTTTCTCAGTTGTGCCCAGTGCCACCCATTAAACGGTTATAATATTTGTTCCTAACTCCTTTGCACTGTCCTCCCCAGGAATATGTGAAAATAAACTAACTTTTTAAGCAGCAGGCCATAACAAAAGAAATAGCAGCTTTCTCATCATTTCTTCTTTGTGGCTGAGCCTTGATGCCTGTTACTCTTCTTCTTCTTCTTCTTATTATTATTATTATTATTTTAATTCTCAGGAAAATCCCATGATCTTTTAAGTTTGCAGACCCCTGTGCTTTGCTTTCTGCTTCCTTCTTTGCCTTCTGCCTATAAGGCAGTGTGCTAGAGTAAGCACAAACAGCATAGAGTTGGGTATCCCACAGATGTGAGTTCGAATCCCAGTTTTATCTCAGCTATGTGATGCTAGGCAAATTACTTAACTGCTCTGAGCTTCACGGTATCTTCATTTATAAAATAACAGCACCTACCTCTCCAGATTTCTTTGAGAGTTAAATGAGAAATGAAGTCTCAGCACAATTCCTGGCACATGGAGGGTACTCAAAAAATGGCATTTCCTTTTGTACCCCCAAAAAACTACTTCACAGCTCACAAAGAATCTTCCTTCCCATATTTAAATCTTAGATCAAATAACACTATTCAAGACATCCTCGTCAACAGAGGCAAACTGAAGGTGTAATAACAGCCACTCATCCCCATTGCCCCTCCAGTGATGCATTACCATCTTTGTCACAACCGTGTGAGATTAGTAGTAGTAAAGTACAAATCATTTGTATTGCCCTATTGCTCAGATTAGGAAACTGGGGGTCTTTTTTTTCTTTTTTTAATGTTTATTTTTGAGAGAGAGAGAGACAGAGAGACAGAGAGACAGAGACCGGGCAGGGGAAGGGCAGACACACACACACACACAGAATCTGAAGCAGGCTCCAGGCTCTGAACTTTCAGCACAGAGCCTCACGTGGGGCTCGAACTCACCAACTGCAAGATCATGACCTCAGCTGAAATCAGATGCCCAACCGACTGAGCCACCCAGGCGCCCCAGGAAACTGAGGTTCTTAAGAGTTGTTTCAAGCTACTAGCAAGTAGCAGAGTTAGGATTTTTACTGCTTTTTACTATTCCCTACCACTAGAATTCTGATTAAATTATTCTTATACCCAGTTAGGGAGCAGAATCAAGAAGTTCCAGAAGACGGTTTTAGCTCACAGTTATGGGGAGAGGGCCAGGAGATTCTGACCAGAGGTCCTGGACACTTCCCATTTTGGATGCATGGAAACCCATAATGAATCCCATCAAAGATCTGTGCCCTATGAAAGTGAAATACGCTGACCCTACAGACTCCAATTCTGTGAGACACCGAAGGGCAGCAGCATGAACAGGTTGGGCTTGAAGTCTGTGAGATCAAAGTTTGTGTCCTGGCAGTTATGTGCTCCTGGGCAAGTTACTTGTGTCCCTAAGCCTCAGGTTGCTGCTGATGGCAATACCTAACTATAGGGCCATCTTGAGGATTCCATGAGATCATACACATAAAAGCACAGGGCTGAACAACACTCTTCAGTTTCCAATATGTGTTTCTTTTGTTTTATGTTTATTTATTCATTTTGAGAGAGAGGGCAAGCGAGTGGGAGAGAGAGAGAGAGAATCCCTAGCAGGCTCCCTAGCAGGCTGTGAGCCACAAAGCCCAAGGCGGGGCTCAATCTCACAAACGGTGAGATCATGACCTGAGTCAAAATCAAGAGTTGGACACTTAACCAACTGAGCTATCCAGGTGCCCCTCAATATGTGTTTCTTAAAGAC